TATATATATATGTATATATATGGCAAAGGAAAAAAATAGCGTTTTGTTCGATAAACATATTAAGAGATGCTAATTTATCTTATAAAGAAAGAAAGTTAATTTAAAAATACAGATGTCTTATATACATTCGCAATTTGACTTTTATTTCATATTTCAATAGCATCATCATGATGAAATTAATATAAATAACACTGATTATTTAATCATAATGTGAAATCTTATCACACTTTGCATGCTTAATAATTAAAGTTTATTTATTGACTTGAGAATTGTATTTATTTGAAAATTGTATTGATTATACTTTTTATATTATAATTGATTATTTTTAGATATAGATTACCTTGGCATTCCGCATAATAAATCGTTAAGTTTTTTTTTTTTCTCCTAAATGACGCATGTTTTTATCATTCGAGATATATTTATATTACTTCCGTAAACAAGATTATTTGCATTTGTAAACAACTTGAAAATAGCACTAGAAATTACAAAAAGGCCGTATCCGACAACATCGTGTTGTCATATTACATTGCCAAAATCTCTTTCTAAATCTTACGTAATTATACTCAACAAAGTTTGAAATATTGAGTCGATTGAGAATATCTGTAATAAATGAAAAGAATAAGAAGATGAATAATGTGCGATAACATAAAAATTTGGCAATTAATTTGTTTAATTATAAAAAACGAATGATAGATTTTCAAGAATGATCCATGACGGGCTGATATAATCATTTCCAATGTCATATAGTTATAACAATTTCAATTTAAAATATTTATTCAAACGTAAAAAAAGTTTTCTAAATCAAAATATTACACATATTATACTTAATTAGTCAATTTTATTAACGATAACTTCCGGGACTCTAAAAAGAAAAAATCTTGTTAAAATATGATTAATATAAATATATATCTTTCAAACGGTTGCAAAACGTTATGAAGCGTAATTTTATATAATTTCAGATGTAGAACGTCATGGCAATCAGCATAAAATTCACAAAATTTGACAACACACCATGGGGCTTTCGACTAGCAGGTGGCAGCGATTTTCCGCAGCCACTTACTGTTATCAGAGTGAGTTTTTTATTTAGCAGAATAAATTTCTCTTATTTAGTAACGGAAATGTCAAGATTAGGAAATTATGATTACAATATTATCTACCATTTTTTTAGATGTCAAAAATAGAATAAGTGTAGCGTAATAATCCATGTTTAAATTTATTTTTGTTTAAAATGTCATTGATTTATATTTCTGTGATGAAGTCTAAAAACTAAAAGGAAAAATAAAATTAGATCTGAAAAATCGGACGAAACTATCGTAAAGATTTTCCAAAAAAGTAGGATATAAAAAATGTGGAAATAATCTACAGATCACGGAGGGAAGTCTGGCCGAATGTATGGGTTTAAAGGTTGGCGATATCGTAGTAAGATTAAACGATCAGCCGATTAGCAGCTTAACTCACGGACAAGCACACGAGGCACTCATGCATGCTGGCAACAATTTTATTCTAGCTGTACAAAGGTAAGTCTATCGCAAGGGTCGTATTATAAATATATACAAATCAAGAAGGATTTCAAGATTCATTTTTTAAACAAATCTTTTTTCTTTGGGAGAGTCGTAGATAAAACGTTGTAAGAAAAGTTATAAAAGCTAGACAT